CAGCAAAAAGAAAAAAAAAAAAAGGAGGAAAAAACCAAGCGTAAAATAGCAGATGGAGGGATGGAAATTTCCATTTTTTGTAGACAGAGTAGTTACAAGACTCACCAGTTCACTCGAGGACGTGTTATTTGCAGCTCGGAGATCAGTCAGTTTGTACTTTGGTGCCCGAACCTGCAATTAAGGGAATGAGATGACTGGCAAGGTTTGGGGGGGTGGGATGGCCTCTCTTATCACGCTGCTGAAAACCACGTGGTGGGGATTACTCTGCACTCGGGGTGCGGGGGCTACACTGGGATTACAACCTTTAGTATGGGGGGATTTACACCCTGTGAGTGATGTGAAACCATCTGAGGGTGGTCAGGGCACAGGGACGGCTCTGGAGGGATCCATTTCCCAGGAAATCGTGATTCTTCCTCATCCAGGAAGCCAAATAAAAATAATGATGGTTGTCCAGGCAGAGGGAAATCACCTGGAAATAAAGCTGCTGTGAACGGGGAGAAGGGATGAGCTGGGAAGGGAGATGGGAGAGGTGTTGGGAAAGGAAGGGTTGGAGTGGGAGCAAAGGAGCTGAGGATGGTTTTTAGGATGCACATGGAGAATTTAGGACTTGCTGGGCTGGGTGGCAGCTCTGGCACCAGCCCTGTGTGTGCCCTTCACAAAGGTAATAAAAATAAAAAATCATCCTTTTCCCTGATTCTTCCCATCTTGCTTCCCAGAGGAGTGGCCAGGGCACAGGGGTGGCTCTGGATGGATTGATTTGCCAAGGAATCGTGATTCTTCCTCATCCAGGAAGCCAAATAAAAATAATGATGGTTGTGTCTAACAGAGGGAAATCACCTGGAAGTAAAGCTGCTGTGAACAGGGAGAAGGGACAAGCTGGGATGTAGGGAAGGGAAGGACTGGAGGGGGAGCAAAGTGGGTGAGGATGGTTTTTAGGATGCACATGGAGAATTTAGGACTTGCTGGGCTGGTGGCAGCTCTGGCACCAGCCCTGTGTGTGCCCTTCACAAAAGTAATTAAAGAAAAAAAAATCATCCCTTTCCCTGATTCTTCCCATCTTTCTTCCCAGAGGAGTGGGGGGGAACTGATGGGACAGTAATAGGGAAGCTGTGAAGTTCAGCTGAGAAATGTGAGGAAAGGGGGATGAATGAAAAGCAAACACACACAGACAAATCCCCCTTTCCCTACACAGCTCTGGAATGCTGGGATAACTCCGAGAGGTGAGTGCTGTGCTCTCAGCTCCCCTGGAACACAAATCCTCATCCAGGGAAAAGCATTCCTGGCTAAACTCTGCTGAGAAAGCAGCTTCAGGCCCAGCTCCCCAAGCTGCTGGCCCAGGATAGGGCCCTTCTGCCCCGAAATCTTGGTTGATTTGCTCCTTCCTCCTTGCTGGAATTTTTTCCCTGGCAATTCTTTCCGACCTTGTGTCCTTTGGGAATTAAATGAACGTTGCGGACACTCCCTCTGTGGGATCATTGGCCAAGATGTTTGTCAGGGTGACTGGATGGTTGGACAGGGCTTCGAGAAACCTGGGATTGCTGTGGAAAATTCCCTGCCCGTGGGTGGAACGAGATGGGCTTTAAGGTCCTTTCCAACCCAAACCATTCTGGGATTCTGGGATTCCATGGGTTTGGATGTTGATTCCTTCTCTCCCCTCGTTCACCTGCATGTTGTTCAGAGTCAAACATCGTGGATGTCCAGCTGACAGAGTCTCCTGGCAGCAGCAGCTGGTCCTGCTGCAATCAGAGATGGTTCAGTGCTGCTCACAGGGGGAACAGGTTTGTGTGGAGATCTCCCTGGTCCCAGGAGAGATCTGGGAGAACCTGAGCCATGGAGAAGAGCCCTCGAGGCCCAGCCTGGCCTCCTTGGGAAGAAATGTTTCCTGAGGTTCAGGCCAGTGCCATCACCACCAAAAAGGGCCATTTTCTCCTCTCTGACACTTCTAATTTCTCTTCGTTTCCCCTTTTACCCTCTAATGTATTTCTGTGTCAGCTGCTGATGTTTGGGAGTAAAAGAAGATGCTACACAGTGGAAAGGGGAATAAACATCAGCATTTCTGACACCCCAGGGGAGAGGGAATCCATGTGCTTGGTTTCCTTTTGCCATCCAGGCTGGGCAAGGGGAAAGGCAGCTCTTTGACACCCACCCCCCTTATTATCTTTACTCTTCCTTTGGAAGACAAAACAGGGCTCTGCTTCTCTTGAGCAGGGCGGAACCTCCAGGTTCCAGCTGGAATGGCAGAGGTCTCACAGCTTCTCCCGAGCCCCAGAACTGTCTTTGTTGAGAGATTTCCTCATGGACCACATCCACTCCCAGTTTGGAGCCGGGAGCATCAGTTGCCATGGAGACTTCTTTGGGAAAGTCATCTGGGGAAAGTGCTGACGCATTTTTAGCTTTGGGTAATGAAGTTGAACAGCTGGAGGTGAAGGTGAGGGCCAGCCAGGTGCCACAGGTTCATGGGCTGGTGGCTGAGACCCCACCAGTGCTGCTGGGCTGGGATTGGGAAGGATCCTCAGGGCTGTGGCTCCACCAGGACAACGGAGGAGAAAGAATCACCCCAAAGAAAAGCTGCTAAGGAGGTGTTGTTACATGGGAAGATAAAGAGGAGGCACTGGCTGAGGTCAGAGCTGCTCATGTACAGTGTGTTCAGCCTATAAATAGCTCCCAATCTACCTCTGCACCAGTGGTATTTTATTTATAGAGTGATGAGGGGACAAAAAGCTCCATTTGGTGTCAGGAGTTGATCTGGGAAGGTGGTTCAGGCTTGGTCAACAGTTTAGGTCTCTGAGAGGAGCAGAGCAGGACCCCAGATGTGTGGGGTTTTCTCCTCTGGCTGAGGCTCAAAGGCTGCAGTGCTGTTAATGCACCCTCTGGAATCAGGGAGGGCACTCCAGGTGCTGGCATTCAGGTATCCCACAGCAGATAGGATTTATCCATGGCCCTTGGATCAGCCTAACTCACATGGAAACCCAGATTTTACTCTCTAAGATACTCTCTGGGCTCCCCAAGATATATTTGGTTCTTTCGCCTTCAGCTGTCAAAAGTTGATTTGAAAATTAATTGGTTTTGGTGTAATATTTACTGCACTTTAGCTTTCAGCACAGCACAGGGGAATAGATCTCCCTACAGCTGGCAGTGTCTGATGGGATTTGTTCCTGCTCCAAAGGCTCTCCACGTTCTGTGCCAACCCTTCCAGCTTTGAGCAGCCCCATCACCTTTTCCTGCCCAGCTCCCACTGGCTTGGGAAGACAGAGGGAAGAATTTCACCTTAAAGAAGCCGCAGTTGGTGCAAAACTGAACCCAAAGTGGAGAGATTATAGATGTGGCCTGATATTCCTTGGAATTAAAAGGATCTTCCCTTTTTTTTTGTACCAGTGGGCTCTTTGGTTGGGTTAAAAATGGGTCATCTCTCCTTGAGATAACCCAGCTGGGGGGAGGGTTAAGCAGCAGGTCCTGGAAGTGCCCTGGCCCATCCCCAGGGAATTATTGCTGGCAGAATAATTCCACAGAGCAGGCTGGAGGTGTCAGGGGAGGTGGTGAACCTGGATGGGAGGTGATTTAGAAACAGCCTTTAAATAAATACCCTGTTAGCAAAGACATCAGCAGAACGTTTCCTGATGGGTTGTGATGCTCCTGACTTTCTCCCAGGAGGACTGAGGACTATCCAAAGCTTTCACTGCAGGGTCTGGTGTCCCCTGACCCCAGGGGAGGTGACATTCTGACAGGGAATGTTTCCTTGCCTGAGGCTTAAAGCCTGAACTACCCAGGGTGGGCCAAACATTTTCCATCCTCTCTTTCTTGAGAGAAAATAGAAAAATTATTAGTCAGGTTTCCCCTCCAAAAAAAAAAAATCTGCTGAGTTTTCCCTCCCACTTCAGTGAAATGCTTTCACCTGAAGATTAAACTCCTCTGAGCAGAGTTAGGTCCCAGTGTGCTGATGTTTCCTATAAAACATGATAAAGCATCCCATGATTTCCTCCCCAGGCATGGGGCAATCAGCACCTCTTTCCCTCCCCACTCCCAACCAAGGAACAGGCTCCCAGCTGCCTGGAAGGTTCAAGTTTGTCTGGCATTTGCAACAGTCAGATTTGGGCAGCTTTGGGGTTGGGGCTGCAAGTTGAGAGGTCTGTGAGGAGCAGGAAAGGTGCAGAGACCTCAAGGTGGTGGATTATGGAGTCAGAGAATATCCTGAGCTGGAAGGGAGCCATCCAGTCCAACTCCTGGCCCTGCACAGGACCCCCCAAAATCCCACCATGTCCTTGAGAGTGTTGTCCAAATGCTCCTTGAGCTCTGGCAGACCCCAATGAGTCTCCACTCCCAGGAGTGGAGAGGGACTATTAAAGGCTGGAGGGGGATTGAACACAATTAAAAAGCAAAACAAAGTCAGATGTCAGAAGCTGAGCCAGGCTGGGGACGTGGGATGGAAGTGATTCCTTTGGAGCTGTCGGATTTGGAGTCATCTGAGGCTGTTTATTGCTGTAAGACTGGTATAAATCAGAGCAAAGTGAGATGGGAATTGCTCAGGGGGACAAGGGACAGGACAAGAGGGAACGACCTCAAGCTGTGCCAGGGGAGGGGCAGGTTGGATATCAGGGAAAATTTCCTCACTGAAAGGGTGGTCAGGCCCTGGCCCAGCTGCCCAGGGCAGTGGTGGTGTCCCCACCCCTGGAGGGGTTTAACAGCTCTGTGGATGTGGCACTTGGGGACGTGGGTTAGGGGTGGTTTGATGGTTGGACTTGATGGTCTTGGAGGGCTTTTCCAAACTAAATGACTCAGTGGGTCTCTGCTGTCCCCTGTGCTCTCCGAGGTGCACCCAAGATGCACACACAGAGGTCTCTCTGTGTTAACAAACCACAATGACACTGCTCAAAACACCAAAATACACACCAGTAACGCCCTGAAAGGCAATCCAAGCTGCTGCTGTCCTCACCATTTGCTGACACACTGCCCAAGGACTCCTCCACCATAACAACTCCTCCCTTCTTCCTTGCCCTTCACAGAAATCCGGGAGGCTTTCCGAGTGCTGGACAGGGATGGGAATGGCTTCATCTCCAAGCAGGAGCTGGGCATGGCGATGCGCTCGCTGGGGTACATGCCCAGTGAGGTGGAGCTGGCCATCATCATGCAGCGCCTGGACATGGATGGTGAGTCCTCACCGGGGCCCTGCTCTGCTCCTGGGGGACGGGGGGGCTTTCCCAGTGCTCGTGGATTGGGCTCAAGTAATTTGTGGTCTCCAAGGAAGGGCTGGAGAGGAAGCTGGAGAACTTTTGCTTCCGCCACGGCCAACTCTGAGATGCCAACCTGCCTCTGAAGCAACCCATGGGAGGGAGCTGAAGCATCTTCATGTGACAGCTGGGACATCTGGGTGCAGACAGAGCAGGTCTTGCAACATTTCTCTGCAAAGTTCACGGATCCCCAACAATCCCAACAATCCCACCCTGTCCCCGAGAGCGTTGCCCAAACCCTCCCTGAGCTCTGGCAGCCTTGGGGCTGTGCCCACTGCCCTGGGGAGCCTGGGCAGTGCCCAACCAGCCTCTGGGGGAAGAACCTTTGCCTGAGATCCAACCTGAGCCTGCCCTGACACAGCTACAGCCCTTCCCTGGCTGCTGTCCCTGCCCACAGGGAGCAGAGGTCGGAGCTGCCCCTCGTGAAGAAGTTGCAGACCCCGATGAGTCCTCACTCACACGAGGGGCTCTTAAAGGCTGGAGGGGGATTTAACACAACTAAAAATCAACCCAAAGTCAGATGTCAGAAGCTGGGCCAGGCTGAGGATGATTGATGGAAGTAATTCCTTTGCTGCCATCACCCCCATGGAATATCCCACAGGGATCACTGAAGGCCAATTCCTGGCCCTGCCCAGGACACCCCGGGAATCCCAGTTGCAAACAGTCTTTTGCAAGGCTGTTGTCACCTTTCCCTTGCATTCCTGGGCATCTTCTGACCCGGGGAGATGATCTGAGTGCCCAAGCAGGCAGAGCTGCCCAGCCCTGTGGCCCCAAGTGAAAGATTCTGTGGGTGGGAGCTGCTCCCCGTGGTAATGAAGTGCTGATGGGCCTGAGGGAGAAGTTTTGAGGGGTGGAATAATTTGGAGCAAAGTCCTGCTGTGAGAGCTCATCAAACAATTACTGAGTGGTAATAAAAGAAACAGAACCCACCATTAACAGGGAGAGGGAAATGCAGCATCAGGATGCTGGAGCCAGGGAGGACTTTTTAACAATCAGAGCTGATCACAACGAGCAGAAAGTCTTTAAAATGTCCTTGGTCAGAGCAGGAAGGGAGACACAAAAGTGTGCAGGGACACTGGGATGCAGCTCCAAACTTCTCCCACCCTTCCAAAGGGGTGGAAACAGTGAAATGATGCCAAAGCAGAGCCCTGAAGGCAGCCCTGGTGTGGAGGGGGATCCTTGGAGAGCCAGTGAGACACCACAATCCTTGGGGAGAGTGTGGAGAGCAGAGAGCAGGGCAGGTGGGGGGATCCCTGGGATCCCTGGATACCCCTGAGCTGCACAGGAAAACCGTGTTCAGCAGGGCAGGGAAGCAGGGGAGGGGCTCTCAGCCTGTGCAGGGTGTTCAGCATCTCCCCTAGACAGGCACAGAAACCCTGGCAGAGAGAGAAGATCAGCCCTGGAAATGATCTCATTCCTAAAAGAACGGGGGAAGAAAGAATCCATCACTTTTAAAAGCATTTTCTCCCAAAGTTATTGATTGTCCCTCGCTCTGTGCTGGCCTTTCCTGGCAGAGCAGGGCACGTCTCCTCAGGTTTTGCAAAGCCCAGACTCAGCCTGGTGCCAATTCCTGGGGTCTTTTACCGAAACTCGGAGCGTTTTTGGAAAAAGAGCTCCAGGGCCTTGGCTCCCGGGTTTGATCCATCTCCAGTTATTCCCTGACTCTTGGTCTCCCGGACCTGAAGCTTTGGCACTGTTTTGTACACACTCCTGGCGTGCAGGGACCTGAAATGGGAGAGGTGGAGTCCAAACCTGCAGCAATGGAAGGTGTTCAATTCCTGCTGGAGACTTTTCAGGAAGTGTTTTCTGCAGAGATGGGGTTGATCCTCCACCTCCTCCAGCTCAGCAGTTCCAGCAGCTCCAATCTGGGTGTGCTGGGGGGGGTTATTGCTCTCCTGTCTCCTCTGCCTGTCGTGGCAGTGTCTGAGCAGAGGGTTTGGGGCTGCACTGATGTGAAGGTCAAGTGCATTAAAAAGAACCAGGGGAATGGGAAATTCCTGAGGCACTGAGCAAAGAGGGGAATATTCTGTGAAAGATTTACCTTGCCTGCAAATTGTATTATTGCTTTACAGCTTGAATTAATATTACATGGCTTATGGCTACTTTTGCTCTGATGGATTATCTTCATTTTTCTTCTGGGATTTAGCTTGAAATATGGAGTGAGAAGCAGGAATAGCTTCCTCCTCCCTCTCCCACTGTGATCAGCATCATTCAGTCGCAGGGCTTGATCCCAGTGAGCTCCCAGGGGTGTTGGTTGTGCCTGGCACTCCCAGGGACACCCTGCCCCTCCTTCCCAAACACTCCTGTTTGTTTTCTGTTGGGGTTTTCCTGTTGGGCTTGAGGGTTGTCAAACTTTTGCAGGGCTTTGGCTCAGCATCAGGTGGGTGGGAAGCTCAGATGGATGAAAGGTCACACTCAAGGAGGGTCAGGAAAGCTGGGGGGGTTCAATGAACCTCCCTCACCTCTCCTGGCACCTGCCATGAATTATGATGTGACAGAGGGTAACGTGGCCAGACATCCTTTCCCCCCCAGAACTGCTGCCAGGGTGTGCTAATAATGAGGTAATACAATTGGCAGGGCTTGAGATTTAATCTGAACCAGCCTGAGCAGACCCAGAACTTTCAGTGCAAACACAGAGTTTTCCTCAGCGAGTCCCTCAGGAGCGTGGGGGGTGCAGGATGGCAGAGGGGATGGATCTGCCACGGCTTGTTTGACTGGTGGGCTTCAAACTGAGCAGCCAGAGTTGCTCCGAGTTTGGTTTTCCTTGCAAACCTTATTTTCTGTGGGGATACAGAGGGAGGCTGAGCCCTGTGTGGGTGAGGCTGAGGAGATGTTGGTGCTGTGGGACTGACAGGTTGGACACAGAGTGTTTGAAGAGGAGCAAATGCTGGAGTGGGGCTGTGGCTGAGCATGAACTGGGCTGACAAGAGCATTTCACACCTGGGTGTCACCTCCTGCCACAAAGTGCCAACTCAGTGAAGAGACTGAGGGGAGACCTCACTGCAGTTCCAATTCCTGGGCAGGGGCAGAGGAGGGGCAGGGACTGAGCTCTGCTCTGGGGGGACCAGGGACAGCAGCCAGGGAATGGCTGGAGCTGTGTCAGGGCAGGCTCAGGTTGGATCTCAGGCAAAGGTTCTTCCCCCAGAGGCTGGTTGGGCACTGCCCAGGCTCCCCAGGGCAGTGGGCACAGCCCCAAGGCTGCCAGAGCTCAGGGAGGGTTTGGCTGATCCTCTGGGGCACAGGGGGTGACTCTTGGGGCTGGGCCTGTGCAGGGCTGAGGGTTGGACTCCGTGATCCTTGGGGGTCCCTCCCAGCTCAGCACATTCTGTCAGTCTGTGATAACACAGGATTGACTCTGGAGGTGCCACCGGGTGCTCAGTGACACCCTCAGAGCCTCCCCAGCAGAGCAGAAAGGAAGGGGCTTTCCATAATTCATCCCATTTGAAGGCAAAATGGAGTCAGTTAGAAAACACCGCTTGAAATAAAGCACAAATGGCCGTGGCACAGCTTGGATTTTGGCCAGGAGGTGTCAGATCACCTCTGATGCCTCCACAGCTCCCAGGGGCTGCCCCCAGCCCTCCCTCAGACAGGCCATGCCAGCAGCCCCTTGGTTTGCCTACAGAGAACTTCAGCCACTCTCTGGATTCTCTGCTTTGCTGAATGCTCTGATTTCCAGGGAGTATCTAATTCTTCCAAATCCTCAGCAAAGGCAGGGGAGCACCACTGCATTCCCTAAAAACACCTTCTCCGTCTTTCCTTCCAAGTCCCTTTGCTGGGAGTTCAAACAGCATTTGGACAACACTCCCAGGCACAGGGTGGGATTGTTGGGGTGTCTGTGCAGGGTCAGGAGTTGGACTGGATGGTCCTTGTGGGACCCTTCCCTCTCAGGATATTCCATGATTTGGCAAGGTGTGCTTCCCCCAGGGGAACAGGGGCACAGCTGCCACGGGGGGAAAGAACAGTTGGCATAAAAAGATGAATTAGGGAGAAAAATAAGAACCTCCTTGGAAGATTTCAAGGTCTCCAGGGAAATCTTATAAATCATCAGAATTCTTACAAATCATCAGAAACCCCCTTTGACGAACCACCGAGAGACGCCACGGTGGAAAATACCAAAATAGAACAGAAGGAAAAGGGATTTTCAGCACAAAAATGTTCCTTTTTTAGGAAGGGAAGTGAGGAATGGTGGTTCCATCACGTGCCAGGGCATGAGATTCCCATTAGGCCCAAGCTTTGCTTACATCTTGCTGGAAGTGGGGCGTGACTGGATCCCTGCAGAAGGTGGTTGGAGCCCCTGGGCATCTCTCCAGGGTGCTGGGCCTTGGAGGGACACTTTGTTTGCTTTTGGTCTGGAACCAGAGGTCAAATCTTACCTTTCTCTCCTTGATTTGCTTTATTCTTAGCCATAATTATGTATTGCATGAACATAAACATTGCAGGCTGGGAGAGGTGGGGATGTTTCTGTCTGCAATCTGGAGACTGACCTGGAATGTTCTGCCAGGAGGGGGGAATGTAAAATATTTAATCTATATTTCCGTGCTTGGAAAAAAAAAGGAATTATTTGTAAATTCTTCCAATTGGCAGTAATGCTAATAAAAATGCAGAGAAATGGCACATTAAATGTGTTGCCTTATCTGGGGTGCCTCCACTTTAAGCAGAGCTTTTGCAATAAAATAGATGAATGTGTGATTTAAGTGTCAAACTCGTTCGTTACAACATGAGACACTTTTATCTGAGGAATAAAATAAGCACTCCATGTACTAATTAGAGGAGCAGCTGCTTTTCAGAACCCTGGAAAAATAACTTCAGGCTTCAAGAGGGGGGAAAGAAAAAACACCCACCCCAGTGTATCAAATTATTGTAGTACAAATAGGAACTGCTTTGATCAAACCAAAGACGAGCTGGTTCTCTGGGAGAAC